CTAGATGATCTGCTCAGGTCCCTTCCGACCCTAGAAACTATGAAACTATGAAACTACACCTAATAAGAGAAGGGTACAAGAGACAGACATACATATGGAAAAAAAGTTTTTATCTGCGTCTATATTTATATGCGACTCTGTTTTTTTAAACATTTTCTGTATGAGAATTAAAAATAGGGCGCAAAGCTGATGTAGCTACATGGCCGCAACACAAAGGGATCATCTGTGAAAGAACGTAGCATCTAACAGCATGCCAGACATTATATTGAGTAAGTTTCAAGATAACTGGAGTAAGTGAAGAATCTTTTTTTCCCCTCTGTTGTAATGGTGATAAAACAGGAAATGGATATTTTGCCTGGGCCAATGAATTTTCATGATGGTTTTCCAATGATGTCTTAGATTGTGCTGATATAATGGGTACGGTAAGTTAGTTCTACGCTTAGTTCTCACGGCTTTTCTATGATCATCTTAGCGCACAGTCCTGACTGTATAGCCTATTGTAAAACTTTTATAATTTGTTTTTGCAGTTCAAATATAGAATGATTTGAAAATTAAATGAGCCCCTGGAATATCAGTAAAAAGATGACTTGAAGTAACATAAAATACATTTGTACATGAAACGGTATGAATATGAGCAAAATATAACTGCTAAATAATTTCTTGGTTCAGTGACTTTTTTCACATGAAGAAAAGCCTTAACTCTCAATCACTAATTTAGTTCTGAGACTGAGTAAAAAAGCTATGATAATCTGTTACTGTGCAGTACACTTGTTTATTTTAATTGCATTTTAACTATGTACAAGTAATGTTCCTTTAGCTGCAATACTGATAGGATTTCATATAGCCATGTTAATAGATAATGCACAAATCAAAAATCATTCTCTAGAGTTTTTAGTTTACACAATATTTAAAATAATCTATTCCTGACCAAAAGGGATAATCTCCCATCCATTATTTCTAAAGGGATCATAAATAACGGTGTGTATGCCTGCCATCTAATTGATCAGTTGTCAAACCACTTGGAAAAACACAATGCAACGAAGATATAATGAGCAACATGACACAACACAGAACTGTCCAGCTGCAGTGAGATCTCTATCCCTGGAAGATTTTAGTGCAGGTCAGACAAACGTGTCAAGGATGGATGAACTTGCCCTGAACAGGGGGTTGGACTAGTTGTAAACCCAGGGTTTTCTCCAGCCTTTTTGTATTTTTAAGATTCTTTAATATAAAACTGAACGTGTAACTATTCACTTGGTTGGGGCTTAATACTATAGCTAAAAGCTTTATCTCTGAATGTAGAACAAAATGATTAGCTCACTACAGTGGATCTTTGTGCCAGCAATTTGATGTTACCTGCTTCATATATCATCACTAAACTTGCAAATGCTTAGCAGAGTCTTCTGGAAGAGATTGTAGCCAGATTCAAAAGCTTCTGACTACATCACTACGCTTATTTTGCCAGTTTTTGCTAGCTAATCAGGATATGAAGATGCTAGGTACATATGTGGAAAAGACCACTTCCTGTTGCAGGAAGCGGTGGTTGAAGATTCAGTTTCACTCTCAGTCTGGACTTACCCACTGTCACACCACATTGCTGAAGGTGTACGGTTCAAACAAGACAGAGAGCCAGAATCATATCAGTTCATAAAAAGGTATGTTAACCTACATTGCTTGATCTAATGCAATTATGTTTTGCCTTTTCAAAATGCTTTTACTAGATGCAACAGATTACATGTTTTCACTCTCAAACTAGTTATACTTACTGCTCTGATACAGTACTCCATACAGTTCAAAATCAAGGATGAAAGGCAATGTATATTACTAAGTACCTAAAAATCTTACATTAACATTAAACTTCAAATAGTTGAGAGTATTCAGGCCCCTATGCAAACAGGTTTTTTAACCCAGTTTGGCATGGCTAGGCACATCTACACATTCATTAATACGCCTTAGATACTGCACATTAAGTTTAGTACTGCCTTAATGAAGTACTAACTGAATCCACAGTAATTAGGGTTACTGCACAGTAGTGCCAGCGCACAGTTTTTTAGTGATGCTTATTGTGCATTAGCCTAATAACACTGCACAGTGAGCTATTAGCACGGTTTCTGCTATGACATGCTACTGCGCATACAGCCAATGTGCAGTAAGTGTCTTGTGTAGATGTGTCCGCTGTGTACAATATAATAAATGAGGAACACTGATTCTGTACACCCAAAACCTATATGAAATGGAATGGGAATCTATGAATATGTGTGTGCAGCAAGAGAGGAGAGGCAGCTTGCTTTTTTCTTTTCTTTTTTTTTTTTTTGAAAAATCAAATACCAAAAAAATTCCAAACATAAAATATTTAGAGAAAGGGCAAAGTTTACCAACATGCTATGATTTAGACAGGCCATCTTAACCTAGCTTCAGTTAGTAACCTGTCCTGCTTTTCTTGAGATAATTGACACAGAGAAAATCTTTGGCTTGTGCTGTTCCAAAACAGACAACATATGGCATAGATTAGACCCTAGCATTGTTCATGATTCATTATCTCAACTTTAATTGGTTTAACCCTGAATTTCTGGGACAATATTTGAAATAATGAGGCCTGACAGGTCTAAGGTGACAAGAAAACAAGAGGTACAAAAATCCCCAAGAGATTGTCTATGGGTTATAGTTGGCATCTGCAATATGATTTCTCTAGAGAAATGAAACAATGTTTTTGCAAAGTTTCATCTGTCCTGCTATCACAAAACTCAGTTGTACTTCATTTCTGGGCTGTGAGAAAGATTAGCATGGTAAGACACAATTTCTATAATTAAAAATGGAATAGACTGGTATGGGAATAAAGGAAGAAATGCTTAGCAGTTACCATAACAACTTGATACAACTGTTCACTGACAGGACAATCTGCTGCAATATTATAAATATAGTGGCAGTTGATACTTTGGCAAGTTTTTTCTTTTCTCTCACCAGTACTCCAAAATTTTGAAATTGCAAAAGGATAAAAACCCAAGACTGTGCAGGGCACTGGCATACATCAGACAAGATGTAAAACTGCAGTATCAGATCCACTTTTCTGGTCAAATCGCTGTCTTGTAAAATTCCAATCTGCCATCCTGCATTCCCCTTGTAATGCTTGTGAAATATTCTTCACTGCCTAACAGCTGAGACGTGCTGCTGAGCAACTCCACACATGGCTGTACTGTGACAGGATACATGGCTTGGAGAACCTCTCGAGTGCTGGGGGGAGCCGTGAGGCTCAAGCCAGCATAGGAGGTCTGCTCCCGTCAGGCCAGGAGAGTGCAAGCTTTCCTACGGTCCTTTTGCTGTTTTCAGCATATGACCCTTGTCACTCAGCTGGGAAGAGTTGGGGCAAGGTGGCCTTTCACTCCTCATCCCATGTCCACTTTCTTCCTCCCCCCCTCCCTAACACAGAGACACTAATGTGGCTAAGGCAAACTTGCTTATAGAGTTTGAACAGCAGGGAGGAGAAGGGGGGACTGGCATCTCTCCTCTGAAGACCTATGTAACCTCAAGACAGAATCTCATCTTCAGAGTTTTAGGGTGAAAAGTGCCTTACTAAGAGTTACTGGTATAAAGCAGCCTACCTCTTCATTGCTGTCAGTCCCATAGAAGTCATCTTCCATTTGGGCTTCTCTGCGGAGCCCATTACAGGTCTCATCTACATCCAAGGGAAACGTACACCTTTCTGGCAACATACTC